TCTATCTATCTATCTATCTATCTATCTATCTATCTATCTATCTATCTATCTATCTATCTATCTATCTATCTATCTATCTATATCTATCTATCTATCTATCTATCTGTCTGTCTATATCTGTCTGTCTATATCTGTCTGTCTATCTATTATTGCTTTTATCTTAAAAGTGACCTGCTTGCTTGATGATTTTGATGACATAAGCTGATTGAAGTCTTGAAGTTTCCCATAAGACTTTATATTTTAAAATTTTTAATTCTAAGGATAAATCTGTGGGGGAAAAAAGATCCCTCAAGTAGTCTGAAAGACTTTTTGAATGGCGCAGGTTTAAATATCCAAGGTTAAATCAGAAATTTAAGCCTCATTTTCTGATTTATGTGTTGACTGTTTTAATGTTTTGGGCCCAAGAGACCCCAATGATGTATGGGGGAAAATAATAGCAGTAATTTCAAAATGACCATATTTTATCTTAAAATTATTTTAATAGGCCTTTCTGATCTTGTGCTTAAGTCTGTCTTTGTTGTGAAGGCATTAGTCTATTAAGTGACCTTTGAGTCATGTGTATAATTGAAACGCCACACGCACTTTGCTATTTGTGCTGTCTTTAAAAGTCTAAATTGTTAAAACTTACTCATAATTGTCTGCTTTGTCCAGTTAGGCACCAACTTTTATTCAGAAATATATATATACACACATAAATTCTTTTGCAGCTTCCTCATTAGGGTGGAATACTCTGGTTCTTGAGTTCTAATACTACTGGTGGTGACACACACACACACACACACACACACACCCTTTGTCAAATTGTAGAACCCACCCTAAAGCTCCAACTATATAAGATGACAGAGCTGGCTTCAACGGCACCATACGATTTGAGCATTTTATTTTGTATCTTCCACTTTTGCGTTCATCCATCTCTGCATCCATCCACCATGTCATCCTTCAAAACCTGCCCAGAGTCCTGCTCCTTCACCTTCCCCAAGACCTGCTCTGAGACCTGCTCCAAAAGCTGCCCAGAGACCTGCTCCGAGACCTGCCCCAAGACATGCTCCTTCACCTTCCCCGAGACCTGCTCCGATACCTGTCTGAAGACTTGCTCCTGCTCTGAGACCTGCTCCGAGACTTGCTCCTTCACCATCCCCAAAACCTGCTCTGATACCTGTGTGAAGACTTGCTCTGAGACCTGCTCCGAGACTTGCCCCAAGAACTGCTCCTTCACCTTCCCCAAGACCTGCTCCGATACCTGTCTGAAGACTTGCTCCTGCTCTGAGACCTGCTCCGAGACTTGCTCCTTCACCTTCCCCAAAACCTGCTCTGATACCTGTGTGAAGACTTGCTCTGAGACCTGCTCCGAGACTTGC